AAAAAATCTGTATCTTTGTATGATTATTAAAAATTATCATATACATAAATATTTAAATAAAAGTAAATTCAACTTCAAGTATAGGGTCTTTCGGGGTTCACGTAATACAATTGGCTAAAAATAATAGGTTTGTGGTCCGTTTACGAAAAGTTGACATTAATTTTCGCAAAAAAGCTTTTCTAATTTGAGATACCCAAAAATAATTCTTCAAATTTGTGAAAATATATTTTTTTATTTTCGCAATTTTCAAAATTATCTAATGACCCAGGTCAGTTGTAGGTAGAAAACGTAGAATTATTTCCTCGTGTTCTTAGTTATCATTTGATAAAATTGAATAATGTGTAGGCACTTTGCTACTTGAGTCCTCGCTATGATGAAATCGTATACGCACTAAACTGGATGAGAACAGTACTATAGATACCGTTTATTGTTTAATATAAGTGAGAGAATTAATTTTGTACTTATATCTTATAATTTTGTACTCACCCTGTTTGTTACTTTTAAACAGAGATGACCAATGTATTATGCTAATTTTCCAGTGTTGTGAATATGAGCATTGATAACATTTTATGGGTTTACAAATATGCGTAGATCGTGTACTTTTTTCTGCTTATTTTTTTGTAATTTCCGGCAAAACTTATGTACCAAAATATACATTTTTTTTATTAAATTAAAAATTACTGTTATAAATATTTTTACAAACATTTTTTTATTTATTTTCATATAAAAAAATAAATGTAATTAATATTTGAAATTTTTTCATTTTATTTTTAGAGAAAGTTTTAAAATATAAAACGAAAATTAATTCTTCTTAAACGCGATATAGTGAAATTTTTGGCTAAACATATTAGAAAAAAAAATCAATTTTTTAAGTTATATTTTAATTTGTAAAATAAAAAAATTTTAAATTATGCAAAAATGTTAAAATAGCGAAACAAAAACATTTAATAATCTATTCTCTCAAATTTCTTCTACATATTGTCATTAATTAACTTAACAATTAAACAAGAGGGAGCACATAAAAAATTTAATCGTTTTCATACAAGTATTTTGACATTAGCATCAAGTAGAAAATAAACAAGTTGGACAACATGTTGCTTTTCCATTTATTACTTGTTTATTCTTTTGTCCGAAATACCAGCGTCCGAAATACTAAAAACAGATATTCTGTGGATATTCGAGACTCATTTCAAAAAATAAACTCTACCATATGATTAAATAATGCAAAAGAATAAAATTTATTATAGATTATGTATGTACTTATATGACCAACAGAAAATCTCACAATGCTTGGCCTAAATCTACTGCGTTATAATTTAACTTTTACGAGTTTCAAAATGAATACATGGATATTTAGCTTGAAATAATTTACTGAACTTCATTTATTTGCGCAAAGTATGATATCTACTTCTTATCCGTCATCTTTCGAATGAATTTTCAATTAAATTAATAATATTTTATATTTAATCATTATACTTACAAATTTACATGACAGAATTAAGGTATAACAGAAACAAAAATTACTAACATTATTCGAATATCAATCAAACTAACCTTAAACTTGATGTACATGCTAATGAACTTTCTCTATCATGCAAATAATATACCTATACCCATCTATATGCGTTATTGTTTTTCATATACGTATACGTAATTGTGTTATTTGTTTAAAACTGTAAAGAAAATATAATGAAAAATAGCCAGTAACAAGTAGAGAAATACAAAGTTAGAAAATGAAATCAAAAACATTTTTGAAATTAATTTAAATTAGTTAAACAAAAAGAAAAATTTAAATTAAACAAAATACGGAAAAATGAAAATGCAATGAGGCATCAGTGAGCTTAGAAACATTCGTATGGATCGTTTTTATTTTATTTTTGTTTAATTATCATACAATAAGGGTACTTACATGTATATTTATGCTCACCAGTGCATAGGTAGACAAACACAATTATAATGACGTTGCATCAAATTTTTTATTGCATCAAATTTGACGTTGAAGCATTTTTTTACCCGCACGAACGTATGTTCAAAGGGTATACTAAATTCACCTTACCATTTGTAGCGCTAAGAAATAATGGTCTGAGATATAAACTCAAGTGTATGTTTTTGATCAGTGTCGAACTCTGAGTCGACTTCTTCTTTATCTTAGAAAATATTGAAAATACAGTACTGAAATTTTGATACTGAGATGCAACACTAGTGTGCCTTACACTACTGTATAGTTTCAACTTATCAATGTACATACAATTATTAGTTATTCGTTAGTTTTTAAGGCTTAATTGTATAAAACAACAAAAAATTGTATTAGATTGATAAAATAAAAATAAAAAAAAATAAAAAAATAAATTCATAGTCTGCCCCATAGTCAGCTATGCAATATTTACTCACACATAGAACAACAAATCCGTACGGGTATCACAGAGTTAACACGGTCAACTTTATTTTTTCTCGTTTTTTTTTAATGTCTCGTTTTTTTTAATGTCTTCTAAGAGAAAAAACCGATAACGCAACGGACGAATAGAAAATTTAATTTAATAAATTCAAAATATATATGTATGTATGTAAGTACGTTTCTTTTTTTAGATATACTTATTCTAAATTTTCGGGTTTTAAAGTATTATATGTTTCATGTAAGATTGTAGATTGTACAGATGGGGTAAGTGCAACCAGTATATAAAAATCTATTGTACCCCTCCTCCCTCACTAGATGTGGGATACACTCCTACAACACCCCCTCTAAAATCACCTTCCTGATGTATTCGGCTAACTTAAAAGATCGGGCAGACCACAACTCTCCCGTAGTAAGTGTGTAATTTAAGTATTTCCCTCTCCTGTGGGTGACGGTCCCGAAATCTCCTTCTGAAAGATCCTCATCCTAATTACAAAATTTGCAAGTGCTCTCGCTTTCTAAGTTCAGCCTTCTAAGGTGACTGTAAAGCCTGCAATGTCCTGTCAAGGTATCGTTGGGAATTCTCACCTGGTTCATGTTAAACCCTAAGATCCTCCCAAAGCGGCCCTGGTTGTAGTATCCAAGAAGGTCTTTAACCTGTCTTTGACTTGGCTTTCACGTAAGATAAAATTTATACTTACTTCTTAACATTTGAAAATTTTAAACTTTTACTTAAACTTTAAACAAGGCTGCATAATATTTTTAGTGAGCGGGTTTCACATTTTTAACATTTCCAATTATTTTAATATTAAATAATTAATATATTATTTATTAATAAAATTTCATTATATTGTTGAAAATTAAATAAATATACCGAAAATAAATAGAATAACTAACGTTATTCGAACTTTGCAAAGACAAAGTTTAAGACCAAATTAAAGGAGAAAAAATAGAGTTGACCTTGTCAACTCTGTGATACCTGTACGAATTTGTTATCCTATGTGTGAATATGTATGCCATAACTGACTATGGGACAGACTATGACTTTAAGTTCCCGTATTACCATATATTAATTTATCCAAATTTTCAGTACTATGTGTTTTTCAAAATACTGTGTGTGCCAAACTACTACTGAAGTTGTATGGCAGATACCAGAAAGAGCCAAGAAATTTTAACGAATTTTATGAAGCACATCGACCCTACTAATATATTCGCTTGTGTGAAATTTCAATATCATAGCTTTTGTAGTTTCTGAGATATAGCCAAATAACTTTTGAAGTTGTATGACAGCTGCCCGAACCGGTACCCCGATCATGTCCAATTTAAATAGGGTTCTGGCACTTACTATAATAAATCATTTGTGAAAATTTGGTGAAGTTAGCTCAATTAGTTTTTGAGTTATCGCTGCCCTTCGAACATACTTTCGTACGCGTATAAAAAAAAAATCTTCACAGTTTCATTGTGTTACAAAGTCAGGCTAAATACAGAGCTTTACAAATAAAAAATATATAGTCTAGATTCCCTTCTCAGATTACATATATGTCATTGCTAAGTGCACTTTAAAAATATTTAATGAAAATTTTAATACATATTTCTTCTTTACACACATGCATGCATACATTCATGAATATATAGAAATGAACTTAAGTTAAAGCTTAAAATACTCAATCTAAATAAAATTAATATATGTAAATCTATTGCGGCTAATGTGCCTTTAATGTTTACCTACATTAAATGAATGAAATTTTGTAGCTATTACGTATACATACATATGAACGCGCATATAAAAATAAATTTTATTAATAAAATAAAATTCTATGCTGGTAATGATCATGGCGATCAAATTAAAATCTCTACAATGTCACGGGTTTTCTTGTTTTTTAATCACGGACAATAACATTCAAACTATACAAAGTAAATAGAAGCAAGAAAAACCTAACGGACAAAGTAATATTGACCACCATGATTCAATTCACTTGTTAACTGTCAAGAGCATCTTGTTCAGGAGATTTATTTAGTGCATGCGTACATCTAATTTTTATACAATTATATTTACCTACATATGTACATCATATGTAAATGTGTTGTAGTTTTAGATCTACTATATTTAAATAAGTACCTACATGTACACAGTTAACTTACAAGAGTTTTCGTTTTGATGCAGATAGTTCTGACATGGAAAATGAAAAAAAAAAAATTTTAATATTTTTGTTTGGGATTTTTAATTTTTGTAATTAAATTTTACAAAAGAAAACTTTATACTCTTAAACTCGTTATTGATTGTCTTTTGAAAGTAATTAATATGGTACTTCGATAGTAGGAATTGAATGCATGTATGCACTTATAACGCGTTCTTTTGCACAAACATACATACACATATACATATACATGAGGTTAAGTTCTTTTGAATATTCTCAGAAATCCTTGCATCAAATCATAATGAAAAGATGTTTTCGAATATTTGTTAGTTTGTGATCTAGTTACATATTTTTAAAGAATTTTGTCATACATATACACATGTACACATACATAAATAATGACAATATTTATATATGCAGGAACTTACACCAAACTATATTTAATTTAAATTAATTATCTTTGAATACAGGAACTCTAGGATATAATGTTAATAACTGTACACGAACGTTGCATATTTCGGTTTTCAATGTACGAGGTAGGATTAGGTAAACCAAAAAGTATTACTATATAAAAAGCGTTATAATTTCACAACTTTAATATTGCACGTACCAAACATTTACATTTCAATGGAAAAAGCCAATATAAATACAAATATTATATAACACCAATACAGACATATTTCAAAAATTAAACAGTTTTCGTATACCTCAATATTTCACTACAATAAGACCGAAAAAACTAAAAAACATAGTTAATTCTATACATTTTTTATCTTATGTTTTCCAGGGACATTTGATTGGGCCTCATCAGACTGTGCATCAAGTAAGAAGTTGATGTTCCATCATTGATTTACAAATTATACATTTTCCGTAAGAGCGAGCAATTTTGTTCCAGTTAGCAACATTCACTCGTTTCTTTAAATATGCAGATCTTCCTTACTAATACATATACATAAATATTTATATTTGGTACTAATTAATTCCTACATACATATAATCGTATTATTTCAATTTGCAGAATAATCAAAGAAACCTTTGTAAAATTTAATGCAACTTTTTCTGATCTATAGTTTGAATCTACTCTTCTCTTGTCTTGTTTCTTATTGTTTATAACAAAAGTCATCAATATTTGATTTGAAACTTTTGACATCAGCATATCTAACTAAATATGAAATTCTATTTTGTTTTTTTTTTTATGAACAGAAACTACTATATGAACAAGTCTAACGAAGTTTGTAATAATTAGAAAATTTACTAAATTTTTACAATAAATAGCAAGGATTTTCTTTCAAAAAAATTAGAAATTAGATCAATATATTAAATGCTCCATCAAATACACGAGACTTCGGACAGAAAAAAGGAATTTAAAAAACGAATTAATACTAATAAAAGTTGCAAATCTGTGAAAATGTAAAAACTGTTTGAGCAGGTGGTCTTAATAGAAAATCTAGAAAATATCATTTAAAATGTAAAAAGCAATCATCGCCGCTCAGCTAAATACAGAAGGTGTCCACCTACTGTATCACATAATCGCAACAAAACACTTGCAGATTATTTAAAAAAAAAAACATTGTGAAAAATAAACTACCTAATGCACGATCAAATATCATTAAATGCAATAAATTGAAGTGATATTTAAAATTAAGCTCGAATTTAATTCTATAAATGCGTTTTCATATTGAAAAAGCATTTTAAACCAAATTTCCGAAATGGCTGCAACTGATGGTCAAATAATATTAGCCGCTTCTCGGTTTGGAGATACACCACCATTATACATTCCAGATTTTGCTAAACAAGATTTACCAGCTATAGCTAAAATTGTAAAAGGACAACATCATAATTTGGGTGTACCTACCTTATCCAATCCATCATTACAATCAACAGCACTTTTTTTAAGTGCTGGAAAAATATATAAAATTTTAGCCCAACCATTAAAAATTAAAGAAGGTCGTAAACCAACAAATGTTGGTTCAAAGGTGCTTATACCGGAATCATATCAAGGTTATTTTGAATTATTAAGTGAAGATGGACGCTCAACACGTTGTATTAGTACAGTATTAGAATTATCAAAACGTCGTAATTTTCGTGTTCTAGTACGTGAAACATTTCGATGTAATCATATGAATAAAACAATATATGCCGGCGAAATATTAACAACAATTGCTGATAATGGAAAAATTTTACAATGTAAAACATTAAAAGATGAAATTGTTAATTTACCGCTAGAAACCAAAGCTAAGTTTTCACCAATTGCTAAAGAAGACAGCATTAGTGGAGTACATTCGGTGAAAAATTTATTATTAAAACGTATGCCAGTTATTGTTAGGTAAGTCAATAAAATCATTGAGAGTAATTAAAACCAATTAGTAAAATTACATACACTCTTTATATAATAACGACTTGTCTATAAGTATGCTACAGTTTTTATTTTCCCCTCTTAGATTAGTTCATGGTAGTACACCGAAAGATTTAAAACAACCCTTTGTACCGGAATTACGTCTATTAGGCTGTGTTGAAGTTGACCGTTTATTTGCATTACCATTACAAAAGGAAAGCGATTTAGTGCCAGTGCCATTGAATTCAAAAATGAAATTGCAGAGAGCTAAAAATATGGAACAGTTACAACATTTTATTGAATATTCAAGATTTTATGAGAAAGCTCAACGTTTATTAGTCGACGCAAGAGATCGAATAGAAATTGTTGATTTAAAATTAGATAATGAAAGAGACAAAAAAAATATAAAATTGGGTCATCATCGTGGTAATAAACTTCCATTAATGATGACGCCACTTGCACCTGGAATTAGTTTAAGTACTAACGCTGTTAATGGTGACAGTAATCATGAAGTTGGTTATGTATTATGTAAAAGTGCCAGTTATGATTCATATACTAGTAAACATTTAAGTAATGTTCACTATCATCATCAATTATTTATGTCATCACATCATCATAACCAACAGAGTCAACCAGTAAATAGTGAAATTGCTGATGAATATAATGAAATTGATCATATATATGATTATGTTCGTGGCTTAACACCATTGTCAAAAGAAATTCATCGACACAAAACTATTTGTGAAAGATCAACACCATCACCGCCGAAACCGCAAAATAATCACCAACATTATCACGATCACCATTTACCACCGCAACAGCAACAGCAACCTCTACCACTACCACCAACACAACAGCAACAACAGCAATTTGTCTCATCAAAAGGCGATAGCGGAAATCATAGTAGTCTAATTCGTGTTAGTCATAATAGTATTAATAAGAATGATAGTAATAGTAGTAATAATAGTAATAAAAATAGTAACTTAGAATCAAATAAAAAAGCAAATAGCACTCGTCAGCACCATAATAATAATAACAACAATAATAATAATGATAATTTTCAAAATGACATTAATTATAATAGTAATAACAGCAGTAATAGTAATAACAACAGTGGTAACAGTCATCATTATCAATATCCATTAGAACATACTCAAAGTTGTACGAATGTAAAAACACAAATGCATACAATTAAGCCATATTATTACCATAGTCATATTCAGGAAGAAATAAAACCAGTGCCACCACGCATTGAAACAATACCTAGTAAAAAAAAATTATCTGGAAAACGTCAAAGACTAATGTTACCAAAAATTTACTTGTAAATATATTAAAATCATTATAAATTTGTTATTATTATTATCATAATTATTATTATTATTATTATTGACGAAATTAAAGATCTTTTGAGTATTAGTATTTATGTTACTTGGAACCAGCATTATTATTCTTGTAAGCAGGCTGACAGTAATTGTATAATAATTGGCAAATGAAAGCTTCTTATGAAAATAATTCTTGATTGCCGATCACTTTATGATAAAAGTTTTATTTGAATCAGTCTATTGCAATATATTGTTTAATTACAAGTAAGTATGAAAATCAACAAAAGAAATTGATTGAGAATTAAAACAAATAAAATATCGTTCATTTTATTTTAATTAAAATTACAGGAATTCTGCACGAAAGCTGTAATAATTCGGGAATAAAATTTGTGAAAATCGAGTTTTCGTATGCAGCTTTCATTGTATAAATTTAAAGGTAAATTATTATAAAATAGTAAATTTATGTCATTTTAATGGAAAATATTACACATCTATTAAAATGTCTATCATATTGTTAAAATAATAGATTTTCTATTAGAATGGCGTGATCAATTAATACTAACATTAATTGTCATAACAATTCCATTCGAATTTTTCTAAATTTTTAAATTTAATTGTAAGGACTTTTGTCATAATTTGCACATTACTAACAAAATTTTTATTGTTCCTTTATTTTCAGATTTGTCTTTTGACCGGGCTGGCTTATCGCGTGATCTTTAATTTTCGTCATCTGAACCAGATCTCTTAAAGAAAAATAAAATAAAATAAAATTTATTATTACTAATGGTGATAATGAGAGCAATTTTAAAATTGAAGCATTAATTAAAGCATCAAAAAATTGAATCATAAAATCGATAATTAATATGTTAATTTTTTTTAATACATTTAGACAAGTTGACCCGTTTATCGTTTCATAGAATTATTATAAAAAACTAAAGCAGCTTAAAAATGTTAAAAAAACTAAATAAGTAAATAAAAATAAAAAAATTGAATCTACATTACCAATTTTTTTAATTTGCAAGCTTAAAGTAGAATTCAGTTGGACAAATTTAGTTGTTCGTCTTACATTTCGATAATATGGATGGAAAATGTTTGATGAAAGAGAAAGCGCTCAACTTGCATGTAGAATGGCAATTTTCGGCTATTCTTTTCTTTAACTCAATAACTACATATGAATTCTTGAGTGGGTTAAGAGAAATAAGATTAACAAAATAAATTTTGTTTAAGGATTCACCAGTTAAAGAGTAAAATAGAGTGTTTTTACATCTGCAACAGCCTTATTTTCATACTGTTTTCTCTAGGGTAGCAGTGTCATCCCGTAAGTATGTTTAAAGTAAATTTTATAAGATGGAGGTATGAAAAATCTGTTGTTATTATTTTTGAACTAAAATAAATATTTTCAAAGCTGTGTATTTTAATAATAATTTAATAGTACTTAGAAGTTCCTAGGCGGTGGTATTTCACTGCATTGAACCCCGTTTTAAAGATGAAATTCTTCCAATCTCCCTTCCTTGAGATGCGTTTCTTTAAAACCATATTGTTCCGTTGTTTTATGGAAAAAATATTTGTATTTGATTTTAAAATATTAATTGTATATTCTAGAAAAGTATTATATTTCATTTGACACAACTTTAGTATTTTCAAAATAATTTTACATTTAAAATTTAACATAAAAATAAAGGTAAACCTGATTGCTTCGAAGTCTCCTGATAAGACATTTTCTTTTTCAATTTACAAAGGAAAATATTTGAAGTAAAAATTAAGTATAAAGCATAAATATAATAATTCCAAATTTTATGTTTATGCTTTATATTTAAAAAAACCAATATCTTTTTGAAAATCACCCAGTTGCCGATGATTTATGCGAGCCGAAATATTGTTGTACAACCCAATCAATAAAGTGTAATTTATTACTGCGTCATAGCTCACCATTAAAATAATTAATCATTCCTCTTTTTTTTCACTCATAAGCTAAAAAATCATTTCCCTAATTTATTAAAATAAACCATATGAACATTATTTTTGTTGTTTTTTATTGAAGAAAAATATATTATTTTAAATTAAGATGTCACATGATACAGACAGACAAAAGCCCAGATGATTGAGAAACGCACCACAAAAAAATAAATTATTACGCTTAATAAAATTTTTTGGCATGATTCTATGGTATCCAAACAAAAAATAATAAAACACAGAATTTTTTGCTTCTCACAAACAATTGGTGATCTTTGTATGTAATCAACCTATAAATCTTAGATGTTTTATTATTATCATTTAATAAGTTGTAAATACCTAATTCGTGAGAATATAGTATATATATGTACATATATATATAGAAAAAAGTTGTAAACAAAGAAAATATTTGCACAAGTGGTCAAAAAGACAGTCGTAAACAGTCGTATGTGTAGTTTCTATTTTAGACAATAAAGGATTTTTACAGAAATTTTTATTACAGTATCATTCACAAATAACATTAATGGATCCATTGTATGACTAACAAAACTGAACTAATATGTTCCAATTTTGAGTTCTCAAGTCTTATACATTTCAAAAGTAATTATTGCATTTCTTGTTCTCAACAGTGTACAAAAGTTATCTTATTTATAACACAAATAATGTTATCAGTGACCTTATGATATACAGTATGTAGAATGCTGTTAGAACTTGTATGAAAATAAATCATACAAGGTAATAGCATCTATTTAATATAATGAGAACTTATTTCTATAAATAAATAAATCAGTATTTATCCAATACTAGCAATATATGTTTGTATATAAATTAAAAACGCTATCCACTAGGTATCAGTTGCTTGATTAAAATAACTCGAATGATTATAAAAAATTTGAATTATTTAAAAATTTATAGAATTGCTAAGTCATGAGAGTTGATGATTTCTGCGCATGTATTAAGATCATATGTGTCTTATAATCAAAAATGTTTTTATTTCCTGATTCTTAAAAGTAAGGTTTTTTTTTATTTCGTATACTGAGGATTATTTTCTTAAAATGAAGATACGAAATGATTTTTATTTTTGTTACATGATTTTAAAATAGTAGTAATAAACTTATATATAATCGCGTTTATTAATAGAAATTTAATTATTATTAATTCAATATATAAATTATGATGAAAAACATTCGATAATTTTTACTCATCTTTTATAATGTGTAGGAACATTTACATTTATGTTAATGTACATGATATATTGACGGATTGTATGAGTTCTTGGAAATAAAGAAAAACAATTAGAATCGCTTTATCACTTCTAATTTATCCAGAAAACTCGTTTAAAGCTTTCCAAAAATTTTTTTCCAATATCACCAAATTATATTTAATTGTCAAATATTGGCGGATTTTGTAAAATCCTGATGATGACGAAAATCTTTAGAACCTGTTAAGCTTTTTTAATTTATTGAAGAGATCTTTTAGTTTATTGAATCTTTACTTATCTCAAGTAATAGATAATCTTTGAAAAAAATTAATTTTCATTGGCTTTCACATTTCCAATAAATGAAACTCAATAATTAATTTTTAAATTACATGTATGTTACCTTTCCTTAATCATAAAATAAAATTCAAAACTGGAAAGTTTCAGTAAAATATCATTTCAATCAATAATTATACACAAATATTGAAGATAATAATAGAATAGAATAGCAATGACACCATTATCAATAATTTTTAAATCACGTTTCAATTATTTACTTTTCAATAATAATATTAATTAAATTTAATTTTTAATATTGTTAATAATAATGACTAATAATGATAGTGGCTTAGAGAAAAATTACATAAGTATGTACATACATAAGTGGGCAGCTTCAAAACAAAGATTTATTTTAAGAAGAAAGAATTTATTTCTGTTGCTGCGATGATATCAATATTTTCTAGAAAAAGATAATCATTTTTGTAGACTTGAAATAGTCCTGATTAATATCGAAATTAAAATTTTAATGTTAATTATGCAATTTATACAAAACAAGAAACTTTTGTGTTTTTGTTTTAATTTTTTAAAGAATTTCGCATACGCAATTCTAGTTTTATGTGAACTAAAGTCATGGTGATACAGAAATTAATTTTCCATATTGTAAACGTCTACATCAACCAGGACGTTTGTCGACTTTATGAAATTTAGGGCCTATCGCACTTTCCTGATGTGTGAGGAAACTTTCTTTCTTAAATACATATGTATATATACATATGCACCTACATATAATTCCTTTTTAGAATTAATACAGTGTAATCAAAGAATAATACAAACCTTCACAAGTAAAATCGATTTCTTGTTAATAAATATTGAATTGAATCGAAAATACATCTAACATAAAAGTAATTATTATTATTATTATTGCTATTATTATTAATAATAATATTAATAATACTTTCTTAATTTTAACCACATTATTTTGTTAAGTTATTGAAGTGGTGCCCGACTAAAAGGAAAAAATGCAAAAAAAAAAAAAAATTAATTTCCATCAAATTTATCATTACGACCATCTCTAACTACCAACTGATCTATGATCTCTTATTATTTCTATCATTATTATAATATGCAATTGCTATTATCCGTTGCAGAAAATAATAGGAAAATATTTTAAAGAATGCAATTATTTTTTTATCTACATACACTGTGTATGATACTCGTACATACATAATATGTATGTATGGAAATACACACAAGTTACATAAATGCAATATTAAAGAATATCATTGTGAAAAAGAAAGTAAAGCCATTAACTGCAACCGCCCTCAGATGAATGTATACGATAAAATAATGCGAATTTCTACAATTATATTTATTTATTTTTATTTCGTTGTTCGCAATTTATTCTATAATTTTAATGATATACATATGTACATATATTCTAAAAAATAATTTGATTACTTTAACCTTTTGCCGATCAAAGTGATTTACAATGAACGTATCATAAAAAAAAAAATCTGATGTGGTCAGCACATAACGGACCGCATTGTGTATTGTCTAGTTAAATGAAAGTGTCACAGAATATTATAAAAATGTCTGTTAAATACTTCTTTCCAATTTTTAGAACATTAGTAAGCTTATAGTTAACATACTTAGAAAAATGTAAATTTGGCTCTTAGTAGAGTTTTGCTTTGTGCTACCCGAATTCCCTGAAATGCTCGCCAATTAGTTTCGGTAACAACCAGAACTCAAATATCAAATTTCAAGAAATTCCATCAATTTGTTCAGTGGATATGGTGAAAAATGTAAAATCGGTATTTTTTTTAATAAAAAAATAATCGGTTGATTATTTCTCTTTATATACACAAAAATGTATATTTGGCCCGTAGTAAACGTCTAGTTGCCGATGCCTGATTTCTTCGAAAACATACGAATTTTTGCGGACGGTCGAGCTGAGCTTATATATAAAATTTCAAGTAAATCGGTTGAATATTTTCTTCAAAATGTTCAAAAATGTAAAACAGGCCCGCTAAAAAGTGCAGTTCCCGAGGCCTGATATATACCAAAAGTTGATCGATCCGTGCCATGGTGGAAACAAACTTATATATAAAATTTCATCAAAATCGGTTCAGCCGAACTTGAGATACACGCGTGCACACACAGACCGACAGACGGACAGACCGACAGACCGACAGGTTGCTAAAAATAGTTTATTTACACTTCCCTACTATGGAGAAGTACGTTCCCACCGAAAACTCGATATGCAAAATTTGTTGCCATCACATAACCTACCTATTGTTTACACAATACGGTCGCTAATATAATTACACAACTTCAATCATACAAAGTGTAAAATTTTTGGTTGATAGCAAAAAATTTTTGTTGAGGAACTTCTTCAAACGTAATTACAATTTGAGATGATTTTTATTATACATATACATAAGAAGACAACGAGAAAATATTAAAAATTGTACACAAACTAAATTCATGTTCAAATCTTTTTTTAGCTAAGCGCGTTTAAGTACTTTTTCAAATAAATCTTTG